GTTTAGGGTTTAGGGTTTAGCTTTTAGGGTTTAAGGTTTAAGGTTTAGGGTTTAGGGTTAAGGGTTTAGGGTTTAAGGTTTAGGGTTTAAGGGTTCAGGGTTTAGGGTTTCAGGTTTCAGGGTTTAGGGTTTAGGGTTCAGGGGTTTAGGGTTTAGGACAAGACCGCGGGGGTTTGGGGATGTTTGGGGAAGTTTTGGATGTAGAGTTCAGGGTGCGAGGCTTTGGGATTTATGGGGTTTCGGGTTTGGGGGTTTTCCGGGTTTAGGGGAGCTTTGGGTGGGGGGCCTTGGAGTTTGGGGGCTTGCGGTTTCAGCGCTTTTCGGAGTACTCTCCGCCTTCTTGCGCCTCAGTGAGCACTGACACCCTAATATATAGGGCCTAGACCCAGAATATTTTTGGAGTTCTCCTTATTATAAATGATAAAATAGGCCCAGAATATTTTGGGAGTTCTCCCTGTTTGAATTATAGTATAGTATACCCCAAAAACTGGCCCCCGGTTTCCGCCCCCTCGGCTCCCTAAGCCCTTTGTCCTCCCGGCCCCTCCGCCCCCTTTGCCTTTACGACACTCTTAGGACCTCCCGACGCGGTGTTTGGCCTCCCCGGTCTGCCCTAGCCTGCCTCCCGCTTCTGACTGGCCCTAGCTCGTCTGCCCGGTGCCCGCCAAACGCGACTAAGGCCTTCGATGGTAACCCCCAAATCCGTATGCCCTTAGCCCTAATCCCCACCCATGCAAGGACGAGGGCCCTTAACGACAACAAAGAACTAAACATTAAGCACCCTAAACCCTAACATAAAAAAACCTCGAAATCCGGAAAATATTAAGCCCCAAACCCCTAAACACAGCGCTCCAGGCGGAATTCGCGACCTCGGTCCGGCAGCAACAAGGCGAGGCAATGGAGTTCAGGGCTTTGGATTTAGTCTAGAGTTTAGGGCTTAGCGTTTTGAGTTTCAGGACTTGGGGCTTTGGGGGTTTAGGGTCTATCGGGAAGCCCAGAAAGTTGGAACATGAATTTAGGATGATTTTTGCCAGGATCCCCGATACTTTAAACCCCAAACCCCTCAACCCAAAACCCCTAAACCCCGAACCCTTGGACAATGATGTTCCAACTTTCTGGCTCCCACTCTGATCTTAACTCTACATCCTGATCCCGAAATTCCTAAAACCCAAATCCCTAAACCCCTAAACCCTAAGCCCTAAAGGGCTTTGGGTTTAGGGGTTTCTCTAGGGCTTGGGGCCGCAGGGTTTTGGGAATATCTTTTGTAGGGCTTGGGGCTTTTAGGATTCGGGATTCAGGGCTAGGGCTAGGCGGGATCAAGCTTTAGGGTTTAGGGTTTAGGGTTTAGGGTTTAGCGATTTGTAGCTTTAGAGTTTTAGGGTCTTAGGGTTTTAGGGTTGCCGCCGCAAGAGTCTTTCCTTGCCAGTTCTGGTTCCGGGTGTAGGTGTTCACTTTAGGGTTTCACTTTGGGTTCTCAGGCTTTCCGGGTTTAGGGTCTCTAGGGTTTTGGGGTTGTACCTCAAGAACCCAAAACCCACTTTTTCGTAGGTTCTTATTATAAACCCTAATATGGGATTTATAGGGACCCTACAAAAAAGTAGGTTTTGGGTTCTCAAGGTAGGGTGTAGAATTTCATTGGAGCTTGGGTGCCCTTCGGGGGTCCATGATTGCAAGGCACACCTGGTTTAGGGTTTAGGGTTTAGGGGCATCGCGCGTAAGGACGCATGCAGGCACGCACACGCAGCCGCATGGGTTCTGAAGCTCGACGGTGAGACCCCTCTTCCTCCGAGAAGGCAGTAAGGTCAAGTCTTGACCATGTTGTGGGCTTCTTGGGGTCGTGCGTCGAGCATTCGTGAAATGGGGTTTTCCGAAAATAGGGGACCCTAATATGGTACCCTAAATAGTAGATCCTTATTATCAGGACCCCAAATAAGGTACCCCTATTTTTCGGAAGCTCCCAAATGAAGTGATTGTAGAGCCGACCCGCTGCAGGTCAAGCGAGGTGGCAGCCGGGAGAACCTGTTGAGCTTGACTGCGGCCACGCGCTCAGAGTCGTGTCGATGCCAGTAGCATTAGTAGCTGCAGTAGTCCCTAAACCCTAAACCCTAAACTCCTAAACCCTAAACTCGTAAACCCTAAACCCTGAACCCTAAACCCAGACCGCCCCTACCTAACCCAGTCTACTTGGAGAGGGGTGTGGCCGCCCGCAGCCGAAGAACAAGAAGATGCCCTCGAGGATAATGTTGGAACCTGTTCAAAGAAACCCTGGCCTTATACCCCCCAAAAATTGTGGGATCCATATAAAAAAACTCAACAAGTTGCCAGGGTTTCTTAAACCCCAAACCCTAGACCCCTAAAAGAATCCTACATTACAAAGTCTCGGCGAGTTTAGGGCTCCTGAACCCCAAAGCCCCAAAGCCCAAAACGCTAAGCAGCCTCAAGCCAGAGCCGAATCCCCCTAAGCCCTGAGCCCTCAACCCTAAACGCCAATAAACCCTAAGCCCTAAACGCCAATAAACCCTAAGCCCTAAACGCCAATAAACCCTACGCCCTAAACGCCAATAAACCCTAAGCCCCAAACGCCCATAAACCCTAAGGCCTAAACCCTAATCAACCCTAGTACCCAAAGCCCTAAACCCTAACAAAGCCTAAGCCCTAAACCTTCATAGAACATGCTTGAAGCCTTCTCTCTGAGGTTAAAAGTATGGGCCCCTAATATGGACCCCTAAGCCTTTCTAGGGACCCTTAGGGTATATATAGGGTATAGAGTAGGTATTTAAGGGTCCCAGGGTTAAGGGCCCATACTAGGGGCCCATGGGTTCAACCTTCGATTCCTAAACCCTAAACCCTTAAAAAAAGGACCCTAAAAGGGACCCTAATTTAGAGAACTACCCATGTTTGAAGCCTTCTCTTGCACTTACTGTCTGGTGCTTAGTAGGGAAGGGGGGAATGGATCCCTATGATAGTCCCTTAAGGTCCCTTATAGTAGTCCCTATAACCCATTCCCTACTAAGCGCCAGACAGCTTAGGATGTCGGTAGACGACCCCGGTCTGGCAGCTGCAACAAGGCTTCGGTGAGATGCAGATACGGGGGCTGAGGGTTTAGGGTTTAGGGTTTTTATAGGGTTTAGGGCTTAGGGTTTAGGGTTTGGGGTGTAGGGCTTCGGGTTTAGGGCCTAGGGTTTAGGCTATTGGGCTCAGGGTGGAGGGTTTAGGGTTTAGGGTTTGGGGTTTAGGATTTGGTTTGGTAGTGTTCAGGGAATAGGCAGAAGGGTTTACAAGGGCTTTGAAGGGTTTAAGATGACGTAAGATTTTAAAAGGCTTGCAAGGCTGCGCGGTTTAGGTTGTTTGGGCTTCCAAGCTTTGGGTGTTTAGGGTTAGACAAGTTCTGGGTCTATATTAGCCGTTTACAGTGACGAAACTCTGTCGCACAACTCCACCTCAAAATCTTCAAGAATTAAGAAACCTTCAACCCTCCGCCCCAAAGACTAAACACCAGAGCCTAGACCCTAAATCCGAAACCCGAAACCCCAGTGATCCTGAGGCCCAAGCGCTCCTGAGCAGTTTCTAGGCTTTCAATCTAAAGTGTAGAGGAACACCAAACCGCAAGCCCCGAACCTCAGAGCCCTCGGCACTAAAGCCCGAGGACCTTCACGGCTCATACTAAACCCAAAACCCAAAACCCAAACTCGAATTCCTTATCCCGACAAAAACCAAACCTATCGACCCTTAATGATAGCTTCTGAACCCTGACCTGTATCCCTTCGACGCTTACATCGCCGATCTTTAAAGCTCCTAGACCCTGAACCAGTACACCCTGAACCCTAACCCATAAACCCTAAACCCTAAACCATAGCCGCTACAAACCTAAACCCCTGAAGCCTAAACACATAAATCCAAGACCTTAAACCGAGCCAGGTCAAGCGTTGCGGCAGCCGGGAGAATTTCTCGGCCTCTGTCACGGTGGACTTTCCCTTTTATCAGGGCTTTACTGAGGTTTTGCGATCTGGGTTCCCGTTTATCAACATGCTAACGGTGTTTTTGGGTATGGTTTCCGTTCAATAGGATGTTAGTGGGGTTTGGGGGTTTTAACAACCTTTTTTTGCGGGGGCTTTCATGGGGTTGAGGGGTTAAGGTATCTGGGTTGTCGACGCCCACTCGATTTTGTTCTGTTTTTGGGTTGGGATGTTGGGTTTGCTCAACTACAGCAAGTCAACCAACCGCGGCCAGTGGGTTTCGGGAGCTTCTCCGTCGGCGAGTCTGTCATTCTGTCCGCTGTCTTCTTCGTGTTTTACTGAGATTTTTACTGTCTACTTGCCGACCTGCATGACTAGCTGGCTATCTACCGGTCCCTCGTTTATGTCTGTGTCTTCCCCCGCCTAGCTCTTCTCTTCTCTTCTGCCTCTCTCTCTCTCTCTCTCTCCCCCTCTCGCTCTCTCGCTCTGGCTCTCGGATCTTGATGGTCGCTCAATTTGCACCCTAAACCCTAAACCCGAAAGCATAAACCGAACCAGTGCTTGGGCTGCAGCCATTTGGCAGCTGCACTTGTCCCATGGCCCCGGGATTTTGAGTCTTCCGTGGCAGGAACATGATGCAGCTTGGCTGTGCTGGGGGTTTAGGGTTTGGGGTTTAGGGTTTGGGGTTTAGGGCTTAGAGTTTAAGGTTTAGGGGCGATGGTGAAACAGCTAGGCTGTGCTGGCGCAGCAGAGCTTGGGAAACTGAAGGGTCATCACCAGCAGCTGAGACGTCAAATGTCCTACGTGCAACAAATGTAGTAATAGTGAATGGTGTTCTTCTTCTTTTATATTTACTTGTCATAAGTATGTACAGAATATAATTATACATATATATATATATAGATATGTATAAATATATGTCAGGTGTAATTATATATGTGTATATATATATATATATGTACATATAAAGTAGCAAGCAAAGCAGAGAACACGGAAAGCTCCAAGCCTTTCAATCCTGGGCCTTTCACGACGCCCCCAGGCACCTTAGATCGCGCCTCCAGCGGGGGGCGCCGTGGTCGGCGCTTCGAACCACGCCGCTTGGCGGTATTCGTAGCTCTTCGGGCACCAAGACGAAGATCAGTCTTGGCAGCATCTTCAGGCTCCGACAAGGCCCGAAAGCTTTCTAACAGGAGCCTCATGTAACAACCGAGCGACATGGCTCCATCGAAAGCCCTTCAATATCATGGCACATAACCTCAACTTTTGAAGCCCCTAAACCCTAAACCTTAAACCCTAAATCCTAAACCCTAAACCCTTTTTGGCGACGCTAAGGTGGAGGAACCTGAACACAGGCATCCTCAAGGAAGCCGACAATGAGAAACGTGTTAGCCACTCGGGTGCAATCGGAAGTGTCCACGGCCTGCGAAGCAGCACAGGCCGAACCTGATATAGAAACCTGGCCCTAGAATCCCAAAATATGATTATTCATGTAAAGCCTGGCCCGATAGCCCCAAAATATGATGATTCATAGAAAGAGCCCTAACAAAGACCCAGACTTTCTTCATCAGATTCCTATATTCTGTTAGGTTCTGGCTGCTGCTCTCAGATCTTCTTGTTGTTTAAATTAAGGTTTATGGTTTAGGGTTGGAGGTTTTGCTTGCTGCACAGAACTGCCAAGTCCAGAGCCCCTGTATATATCCCAAAGGGTCCAAGTTATAGTATGGTATAT